TACAAAGATTACTATTATATTTTTCTAATAAATTTTGTTTCCTGTTGATGATTAGAAAAAAAATAATAAATTTAATCTAAATATATTAATAAAGTGATCACTTTTCTTCTAAATAATGTAAAGTTCATCTTAATTATACTTAAAGGATTTACAAGAAATATTTAGATAAATATTTTCTGAAAGAACAATTGAATTAATTTAGTTGAAAAAAAAATTAAAAAAGAATTAAATCAAAGAATCACTAAAAATAAATCTATCTGATTTTAATATAAAATCAATTGAAATATTATTCTACTTCTATATTTAAATTAATGAAATAGTTGATTTCGTATTTGCTTATCATACTCATGTTTTCTTGCATAAGAGGTGAATCCTAATTGAATTACAAGTTAAGTAAAGGGTCAAAACGAAAATTAGAAGAAAGCAACCCAAAAATAACTTCTTTATCGTGGGAGCCCTTAAGGATTCATTACGAATTTTTAAATAATAATTACGATACCAAATCAATTGAATTTTTAAAAACTGTTTTTGATAAAACAGCAACTTTCTTTTAAAAACATTTATTAATATAAAGAACAGATTCTACAATTACTTATAGAAATATTTATCCAAAAAGTCTTTTTGGATTTAGTATAAATGAGGCTTATCTAAATAAAGAATTTGAAGCAGACTTAGTATATTATTTAATTTATTCAAGGTTTTTTTTATTAACATTGAAAACAACCCTTCAGAAACTTATTTAGCTTATTGTGGTCCTGCTATTTTTGATATAGAAACATTACGACCAATTTTTGGTTTGATTTCTTGGAATATGCATTATTCCAAATTGGATAAAATGACAAATTCAATATTTGAAGCTAATTTAGAGACAGCAATTCATGAAGTTATTCATGGATTAGGTTTTATAGATGATTATTTCACCAGTTTTTATGATTCATACACAGGAAACAGCTACAATACTTCAAATATTTTTTATTCTTTTAGTGCGTCTTATTTGTCAACACCAAGAGTAACTAATTTTGTTCAATATCATTTTAATTGTACTACATTATTAGGTTTGTAAATGGAAAACAATGGGGGATAGGGAACTTAAGGATCTCATCTTGAAAGAACTCTCTTTTATAATGAAATGATGACAGGCTCAGATATGACAGGAAATTTTTTGATTACAGATTTTACATTTGAATTATTATAAGATACAGGGTAAAAATAAACATTATTTTAAAAGATTCTACAGAGTAGCCGATTATTCACCAGATTAACCTATTTGGGGAAAAAGGGGTTGGGGTTGGGGTTGGGTTTGGGTTTGGTCTTTACACACCCCTTTCACAACCTGGTGCTAGTATTAAGGTTGGGGCCGTTAGGAATTTTTCCAATTTTGAATCCCCAACGCCAACCCCAACCCCTGTTTAGTGATTGGGGATTGGCGTTGGCGTTGGGGATTAGTTGAATTGAAGATTGTTCTCGAATTTTGGTTATTTGAATGATAATTATTAATTATATTTTGATTTTTAATTGTTATATTTTCATTTATATTTTTAATAAATATTTGTATAATATTTTTAATAATTTTGTATTATTTTGTATAATACTTGTAAAATAT